ATTTTGGTATATTTATTTCACAAATTGTGTATTTTTATTTAAGTAAATAAGAAAAACATGAACAATCAAGAATATGTGATTAATTTTGCGACAATTTAATTTTGCAGCACTACATCTACTCATTGTCGCCGGCAAAATTAGAAATAGATTTAATTTGGCGACGTCGACAATTGCAGTCCTGCAGCCAAGATGTCGTGCTGTTGTCAAAATAATTGTGTCCGTAAGAACGTGTGTATTTAAAATTTGACAGATGCTGCTTGTCGCTTGCTGTCGTCAAAGTGTTCCGAGCTTTAGTGTAAATTTGGATACCTTTTTCCATAAGTTTTCGTAAGTTGAAGGAATTTTTTAATTATGTACGAGCTATTATAACGTTTTTAACAGTTGGCTGCTTATCCTCCAACCAAGAAGTCTTCCTTTATTCTTGTCAGTTTGAAAAATTAATTTTTCAGCCAGATAAACGTTCATTTAATAACGCCAAGTAGTTTGCAAATTTTAAAAAGTTTTCCGATCTGAGTAGTTAACTGTAATGCGAAAAAATCAACTTCTACATTCTGAGCAACCCTTCTCTTAGCATTCAAAGAAAATTGACAACCATGCCGATGACTAATTTTCAACAATAACTTGACTATACTAAAAATAACTTATAACTTCTAAATGTTCTTTTATATGTCGTTAAGCGAGAATTCAAACAAGCCGGCGATAGAAATTTTTCTTGAAGGCGGAATTTACAGACAAATGCAAGTTTTTGAGAAATTTTTTAATTTCATAGATAGCTCCCAATCCACCAGTTTGATTGAAAAACATTGTAACCACAATAGCAGCAAATAACAATTTACTGAACTAAATGTAATAGGTCAAAATTAGTTTAAATTATCATTATTTTTATAGACAAGGAAATATTTTTTGCATGTATTATTTTTGAGAATCTAATCGCAGTGATAAACATTGAACATGCGGTAACTTTGGCCCGTAGTTTTAGTCAGTAATTTCCCATTCTAAGAAACAGATCTGGGAAACAAAGGCCCGTAGTTATAATCAAAATAAAGTCGACACTAAAGTTAGTTGCAGCTTTTTTGACAGGTATCCCATTGAAAATGACGTCGAAAAGCTGCAATTAGCTTTAGATTATGGGAAAATACTGACTACATGTTAATAAGCTGGTTAAGGTGCGGAGTTTATCTTTCATAGATGTACTGTATAAAAATGTCCGCTCTTTTCGGTAGATACATTTGGATACAATTTTCAAATTTTTATGGATACCATAAAGGTTAAGGCAGTCGCAACACTGTCAGAAAATCGGTTCTTATTCTCAGATGCTGCCACCTGCTTAAAATAGATGACGTTTTTAGCAAATTCTAATAATTTCTGTGATAA